ATAAATAGTAACGAGCAAAAAGTAAATAAAGTAAATAAAGTGCAGCAAGGTGGCCCAATCCTTTATGTAGCAAAGGATAAGCCTGGACAAATTCTAATAATGAAGAAAGAGCTCCCGAGGACACATTGGGAATTATCGTCAAGCTAGTTTTCATCACATTCATATGATTCACGTTCGGTACTTTGATAATTTGATATGTGGGTGGACCGACACTTGGGTACTGCACTAGCATGGACAAGCATCCCACTTATGATTAACCCCTATTGTAAGCATCTGTAGCTACAAAAAGGAGTATTAAGGTAAACCTAACCACAACATTAAACATATGGGTCCATATCAACCCCTAACGAAGCAACGCATAAACTAGGTTTTAAGCTTCCGTCACTCTAGCAACCCATCATCTACTTATTACTTCCCTATGCCTTCCTCTAGGCCCAAATAATGGTGAAGTGTCATGTAGTCGACGTTCACATAACACCACTAGAGGAAGGACAACATACATCTCATCAAAAATATCAAACGAATACCAAATTCACATGACTACTAATAGCAAGACATCACCCATGTCCTCAGGAACAAACGTAATTACTCACAAAGGATATTCATGTTCATAATCAGAGGGGTAATAATATGCATAAAGGATCTGAACATATGATCTTCCACCAAGTAAACCAAATAGCATCAACTACAAGGAGTAATCAACACTACTAGCAACCCACAGGTACCAATTTGTGGTTTTGATACAAGATTGGATACAAGAGATGAACTAGGGTTTTGAGAGGAGATGGTAATGGTGAAGATGTTGATGGAGATTGACCCCATCTCGATGAGAGGATCGTTGGTGATGAAGTTGGGATGATTTCCCCCTCCCGGAGGGAAGTGTCCCCGGCAGAACAGCTCCGCCAGAGCCCTAGATTGATTCCGACAAGGTTCCGCCTCGTGGCGGCGGAGTTTCGTCCCGTAAGCTTGCCCATGATTTTTTCTAGGGGAAAAGTGATGATATAGCAGAAGATGGACGCTGGAGGCCCACCAGGGGGCCCAGGAGATAGGGGGCCGCGCCCTACAGGGGGCGCCCTCCTGTCTCCTGGACATGGTGTGGGCCCCCTGACCTATTTCTTTGGCTCATAAATTCTTATTAAATCTAAAAAGTTGTTTCGTGGAGTTTCAGGACTTTTGGAGTTGTGCAGAATAGGTTTCCAATGTTTGCTCCTTTTCCAGCCAGAATTCCAGCTGCCGGCATTCCCCCTCTTCATGGTAAACCTTGTAAAATAAGAGAGAATAGCCATAAGTATTGAGATATGATGTGTAATAACAGCCCATAATGCAATAAATATTGATATAAAAGCATGATGCAAAATGGACGTATCAGTGATTCATGTCAAAAAGCAAAAAGTCATCAACTCCCATATCCCGTGTCAACTAGTGTTTCTTCCAAACCATTAGAACTCATTTTTTCTGATGTATGGGGGCAAGCACCCACTTCTGTTGGTCGACACAAATACTATGTAAGCTTCATTGATGATTATAGCAAGTATACATGGATCTATCTTATTAAACATATAAGTCTGATGTGTTTCAATTTTTCCAAAATTTCCAAGCACTTGTTGAACGAAAGTTTGATAGAAAAATTATCACAGTCCAATCGGACTAGGGTGGCGAGTACGAGAAACTAAACTCTTTCTTCGAAAAATTGGGAATTTCCCATCATGTTTCTTGTCCACACGCATACCAACAGAATGGCTCCACTGAACGCAAGCATCGCCATATTGTTGAAGTTGGCCTTTCTCGACTTGCAAATGCTTCCATGCCATTAAAATTCTGGGATGAACCCTTCCTCACTGCCACACATCTCATTAATATTCTTCCAAGTCGTGTCATCAACTACCAAACACCTACAGAATGGCTTTTGCAAACCAAATTAAACTATGCCTCCCTCTGAGTTTTTGGGTGTGCATGTTGGCCCAATCTTCGACCCTACAACACCAGAAAACTTTCCTTTCGCTCAAAACAATGTGTGTTCATTGGTTATAGTCCACAACATAAAGGGGTCAAGTGCTTATATGTGCAAACTGGAAGAGTTTACATATCCAGGGATGTGGTGTTCGATGAGACCGTTTTTCCGTTTCAAGATCTCCATCCCAATGCCGGAGCTCTCCTACAAAAAGAAATCCTTCTTCTTCCTAGTTCTCCTTCAGGCTTAGATCAAGGGGGTAATGATATTTTTGATGATCACATGACTAACCCTCATAACCATACAACACAGTCTCCTGGTGATGCAGATGATACAGGAATTTGTGGCGCAGAAAACGGTGCAGAAACTGCTGAAAACGATGTTGTACAACAACTAATATTTCATGCAGCAGAACCAGACATGGGCGCTGGACACGAGGGAGATTCACCTGCGCCTGCAACTGCGCCGGGATTAGTAGGATCCAGATCCCAGGAGGATCGCCTGCAGCAGCAAGCCATCTCGAAGTCGTGCGCGCGTCGCAGCGACAACGCCTCCCCCACGAGGCGGGCCACCAACGCGTCGCCCAGTGCGCGTGGACCGCGCATGGACCCACCTTCGGGCCAGTCATCGTCCGCCACGCGCGGCGTGGTCCGGCGGGCCGCCGACAGCGACCGGGCCCCCGACAGCGACCGGGCCAGCGCGGATTCGCCTGGCATGCCTGGTGCACCCGACGGTGGATCGCCCTCGGGATCCGCCTCTGCCAGCCCTGCACGCCCAGGCGGATCGGGCGGATCTTCTGCAGCGCCAACTCCTGTAGTGCGTTCTACACGTGTTGGTACACGTCTACAAACAGGAAAAATTAATCCTGTCAATTACAAAAATATTCTTAAATTCGGGCTGACATGTTCTACTGATGTACCACATTCTGTTGAAGAGGCGCTGAATGATGCTAAGTGGCGAAAAGCCATGGAAGAAGAATACAAGGCCTTGAGGAAGAATGAGACTTGGCACTTGGTTCCACCGGGTCAAGGTAAAAATTTGATAGATTGCAAATGGGTATACAAAGTTAAAAGAAAGGTTGATGGCACTATTGACCGGTATAAGGCTAGGTTAGTAGCTAAAGGTTTCAAACGGAGATACGGGATAGATTATGATGACATATTTAGTCCTGTTGTCAAGGCTGCTACTATCAGGCTTGTGTTGTTGTCTATTGATGTCTCCAGGAATTGGTGCTTAAGGCAATTGGACGTACAAAATGCGTTTTTACATGGTAGTCTGGAAGAGGAGGTTTACATGAAACAACCACCTGGGTTTGAAAACAAGCATGCACCTTTCCATGTGTGCAAGCTTGACAAAGCTCTGTATGGTCTAAAGCAGGCCCCGAGAGCATGGTCTCACGATTGAGTGCAAAATTGCAAATTATTGGTTTTGTTCCATCCAAGTCAGATACCTCATTGTTTATTTACAATAGGTCTAATATCACAATGTTCATGCTCATATATGTTGATGATATTATTGTCACCAGCTCGTCTAGTGAAGCAGTGACAGCACTTCTGAAGGACTTGGGCTCAGAGTTTGCTCTCAAGGACTTGGGAAATCTGAGTTTCTTCTTGGGGATTGAAGTCAAGAAAACTGATAATGGTATAGTCCTCTCTCAAGAAAAATACGCAACTGATCTTTTGAAAAGAGTTGGCATGCAGAATTGCAAACCCTCTCCAACTCTGTTATCTAGTTCAGAAAAACTATCTTTGCATGAAGGATAACTTCTAAGTCAGGAAGATGGCACTCAATACAGGAGTATGATTGGTGCACTTCAGTATTTAACCCTTACTAGACCTGATATCTCTTTTGCTGTGAACAAAGTTTGTCAGTTTCTACATGCACCTACCACCTTACATTGGTCTGCTGCAAAGCGTATTCTGAGGTATGTGAAGAATACAGTAAGTGTTGGTTTAACATTTAGTAAATCTCAGTCTACTCTTGTCAGTGTTTTCACTGATGCTGATTGGGCTGGAGACCCAGATGACAGAAGGTCAACTGGTGGCTTTGCAATATTTTTTGGTCCAAATCTAATATCATGGTGTGCTAAGAAACAAGTCACAGTCTCTCGTTCTAGTACAGAGGCTGAGTATAAAGCTCTAGCTAATGCTACTGCAGAAATCATTTGGGTACAGTCCATGCTAAAGGAACTTGGAGTGCCACAGGTGCAAGTTCCTTGTCTTTGGTGTGATAATTTGGGAGCCACATACCTTTCTGCAAATCCTGTTTTTCATGCCAGAACAAAACACATTGAGATAGATTTCCACTTTGTTAGAGAGCGTGTTGCTAACAAGAAGTTGGACATTCGGTTTATTCATTCAAAAGATCAAGTTGCAGATGGCTTCACAAAGGCTTTGCCTACACGGAGCTTTGAAGAATTCAAGCGTAATCTCAACTTGGCCAAGTTGTGATTATGGGGGCGTGTTGAAGATAATATTCGCAGCTATATCTCTAGGCGTCACGCATGTATCTTTCTGTTATGTTTCTATCTTCTGTAGGTAGTTGAATAGATTCTATCTCTACCTCTCTTGTTCTCCAAGAATGTAATTCAAACAGATGTATGCGCCTATGGAATAAGCCCCATCAATCTATAAATACACGCGGCCCTCAGCGGGTGCCCCATACCCGGCAGTCCTGGTTGGGACCTCAGGTCTTAGATGTTAGGTTTGGCTGCGAGGTCTGTTTGGTATTAGGCCCAGACTATCAGCATTCCTTCATCAACTAGATAGGAGTAGCGATAGATGTTGCCTAGACGGTGGCTTTAGTCTTACTTTTGTTTGACTTTATAAGGTCTTGTGTGAATAATTAATAAAGTGGCTGCATGCATCATCCAGATGCAGAGGCCGGGATCCTCCTCCATTTCTAAAAAAATAAACATAAATAGACGCAAGTTTTCCTGACAGCGAAAGACATACACAAAGTTTCTACCAGAGCACAAATAAACTAGTACGCATGCATTATGCTATTAATAAATCTCGGACCTTTAGAACCAATGCACCATGGTTATCCTTCAAATCTTTCTGCTGCACGCAGACTTGAGAAGGTCAGTCACCACCGAAGGGCAGCTTGACGCCAGATGCTTATACCCATCCATCGCCAACACGGCATCAAGAATTGTTGGAGTACTAATGATAAAGTCCACACAATTCGCCTTGAGCTGCGAACAGCTGTGCTGCTCTGCTAAAGCCAACGTCGTTGCCACCGTGTTGACGTTGATGCCATTATCAGAACATATGAGCTTGAGCATGTCAAGTCCATACCTGTCAGCAGCAGCAAATAGATGTTGCGCCATCAACGTCACGCTGTCCTCTTGATTTTCAAATTCAGGCACAGTGTCGGTGTAGATGAAACGGAGCAGTGCCTTGAATACCTGAGCCTCCATGTCATCTATCTTCACATCTTGTGAGCACTTCTCCTTCATGTCCCCGAAGAACTCCGGCCATGAAAACCGGAGATCTTGCAGCCAATATGTTTTTATGCACGGCAAAAGACTCACCGGACATGAGAAATGTGACGTCCGCCCCCGTCCCGCTCTGCAGGAGCTCACCGAGGTGCTGGTTCAAGGTGTAGGATGGCACGGTCATTTCTTTACCACGGATGGTTGGTTCCGGTAACTCCTTGAGCACTGTGATGGCACACTGCACAGTCAAAGTATCATCCCTAAGATAACCTGACGTTTGCACATCACATATACGCATAACAGGCCACAAGTAATTTCTAATTTCTTCGGGACGGTACGTAGAATGCATTCTTTTCTTCCGATGGTTCAAGCTTCCCACTCGAATCTACGAGACAACCTGCTAGGCTCGCCCTGCATACGCAGGGCTCACTCAGAAGTCTGAATTCCGGTATTAGCCACTGATAGGTGCAACGCATCTTTGCAGGATAGATTCGGATTTCCACTCATAATCACCCGCAAAAAAAAAAAAAAAAAATCACCGACGCTTCGTCTCCATGTGGATTTGATGCAGTCGGCGCTGTGTAGGGTCGTGCTAAAGCCTTCGATCTTGAGCAGCTCTGATAGCTATAATCTTGACTTAGCGGTGCGTGCGTGGCAGACGAGCCGTTGTGCTGATGCATGCATGGTTGTTAGCTGCACAGCTGGATCTTGTTGATCGTGGAGATATTCCAGTGAGTAGTTAGTGCATGGGTTAGTGGCCTAATGTGGTGGCTATTAGGCTAGTGCGTGCGTGACTTGCGGTGTGGCCAAGTGCATGCAGCGGCAAGCCAAGTCAGTGCGTGCGTGCGTGCGTGGTAGCTAGCCTGGTGTGTGTGCACGGGTATAAATACCCCTCCCATGTACTGATCGATGTGCGCCGGTATGAGCCAAGCCTAGGAGCCAGAGATGAGGTAGTCTCCGCCGGGACCGTGGTATGTGCCGGGTCGGTTGTGAGAGAGCTCCTTTGGATAGGCTGCGGTGTGTTGCCGCGCCCGGGTATGTGCCCATTAAAGTGAGGCCGTTCGTACGGTCGAAGCGCCGTTCGTGCGGCGGAGGCGTTTGTGCGCCGGAAATATTGTGTGCTCCATCTTTCACCTTCGTTTGTGCGAGTGAGAGAAAGAGAGCGGCAACAACAAGCTCCATCAGGCGGACAACACCGGTGAGGTTTGCGCGGGCACTTTCCATGGCGAAGGTGCACGCTGGAGACTGGGGAAGTACGGTACAGGGCGTGAGATCATACAGACATATCAGAACTGTTCGTGTGGTAGGAATTTTTTCGATGAGAGGGGCCACATGGCCCCCATTTTCATTAAGAAAATGGAGTCTTTTACAAGCAAGGAGCAGTATATTTCTTACATCCCTGGCACTAACCACGTCAGGATGCTACGACACACAAGTAACCCAACCAGCACTAGCATACTTGTCTAGATAACATCGAGCCAAATCGGCGAAACAAAAGCTACTGCAAAAATAGAGGTAGGTGACGATAGAGCAAAAGCTAACTATAACCAGCATCAGAAATATCCATTCTTTGGGTGATAGCCAGAAGCGATCCACGCCTTTGAAGCCAGCGCCTCCAGCAGCTGATTTCATCAGATTGTTCTCACATACGGCGCCCACCCATATCCTCTCCTGAAGACATCCCGAGTCACCTGGGCAATCCTTCTAGCGACTAGCTGTAGCGTGTTTTGTAGTCCTTTTTTCTGCAAAATTTTCCACTAATACAGAAGGGAGCAAACAGACATAATAATATCAGTAGGATCATTGTGCATTACACCTTGAAAGCATGATTTATTTCTTGTTTTCCAAATAGACCATAACAAAGCAGCAACATCAAGCATAACAACTACTCTATCTTTGCCAGTACAGTTAGGCAACCAATTCTGGCATAAATCAAGGGAAGACACTGGGGATCTTTGGTTACCCAAGGAGCACCCCACAATATTCCATAAGAACCTAGATAGGGAACAAGAAAAGAAAAGGTGATCCACACTCTCTATACTGTCACAAAACTCACAATGCTTAGCACCTTTCCACCCTTTTTTACTTAAGTTATCTTTGGTTAGGATCCTATTCTTGATCACTAACCAGGAGAAGGCTTTAATTTTCAACGGCATCTTCATTCTCCATAGCAACTTATAAGGGAAAACAACTTGTCGAGCAACAAGATAATGATACAGAGATTTAACCAAAAAGTTCCCAGAAGAGGTAAGAAGCCATTTAACTCTGTCAGGTTCCTCCGACAAGGTCACCTGACTACACATATCAAGTAATTTGTTCCACATCTCAAGGGTCTCCCCATGCAAACATCTCCTAAATCTGATGCAATCAAAATCCTGGCTAAACACCTTCGCGACCGTGACATGCCTACAAAAGGTCAAGTTGTAAAGATGTGGGAAAACCAAACATAGGGGTTTGTCTCTTAACCAAACATCCTACCAAAATCTAGTTTTGCGACCATCACCCACAACTCTCTGGCAGCATCTATAAAAAATATCTTTAACCTCCATCAAACAATTCCAGAAATGGGAGTTGCCAGGAGATGATTCACATTGAGTCAAAGTTTTCTTTTTCAAATACTTTGCTCTAATCATCTCCTTCCAATCTCCATCCTTGTTCTCTAGCCATCAAAGCCACTTGCACAAAAGACTTATATTCTTTATATCTAAATTAGTAACTCCCAGGCCACCCTGATCTCTAGGTTGGCACACATCAATCCAGTTTACCAGATGATATTTACGCACACCCTCCTTTTCTTGCCAGACCAACTGAGCTCGGAAAAAGTCAAATCTTTTGCCCACGCCTTTTGGTAGTTTAACAAAAGAGAGCATGTGACTGGGAATGTTACTCATGCAGGTTTTTGCAAGGATTAGCGTACTCCCCATAGGAAGCAAGCTCCCCTGCCAAGTAGCTGCTTTCCTTTCACACTTCTCCTCTGCAGATTTCCAATCCCTATTACCAAGCCTCTTATAATGTAAAGGAAGACCCAGATGCCCAAAAGGGAACTCACCAATAGCACACGTAAAAATCTGAGCATAATCATTCCGTTTTGGTTCAGCCCCGCCAAAACAATAAACCTCGCTCTTCAGAAAATTAATTTTTAGACCAGTCAGATGCTCGAACACACACAAGATAATTTTTAAGTTTCTAGCACCCTCTAAATCATCCTCAATCATAAAAATAGTATCATCCGCATATTGTAATATAGAAAGACCACCATCATACAGCTGGGGAACTAAACCTTTAATAAAACCTTGCTCTTGCGCCCTTTTCACCAAGGTCAGCAGGACATCAGCCGCTATATTAAACAACGGGGGGGAAGGGATCCCCCTGTCTAAGTCCTTTCCTAGTAGTAAAGTATTTGCCTATCATATCATTCAAAGTGATGGAAACTTTCCCATTGTAAGTAACTGCCTTAGTCCACTGAATAAACTTTTCAGGGAACCCCTTCATCTCCAACACAGAAAGCATAAAGGCCCAATTAATTTTATCATACGCTTTTTCGAAATCCACTTTAAAGAACACACTAGAAACTTTATTCTTATGTAAGAAGTGCATGGTTTCATGTAACATAACTACATTATCCAGAATGTAACGACCTTTTATAAAAGCAGTTTGAATACGAGAAACTACCTTATCCGCAACAAGCATAGCCCTAGTGTTTAGAACCTTAATAAAAATCTTGAAGGGAACATTAAGCATGCATATAGGCCTATACATCTGGATCTTATCAGCTCCCTGCCCTTTGGCAATCAGAGTCACTATACCATAGTTTAGTCTAGAAATATCAAGCTTGCCCTCGAAAAAATCACAGAACAATTGGAATAAGTCTTGACAAATCAAATTCCAATTTTTTTGAAAGAACTCTATGGGCATGCCATCAGGACCGGCAGCCCTATTATGTTTCATAGAAAAAACAGCAAGTTTAATCTCATCCATGGAGAACCTAGATATCAACTTGCTCTTGTCATCACTATCCAAGACAACAGGAACTGGAATGCTCAAAGAAACAGGTAAAAGGTCTACAGGACCAAACAACTTTTTGTAAAAATTAGTAGCATAATCAAGCAGCTTATCATCTCCTTGAATAATCCCTTCCTCCTGAACAAATCTGAAAATTTTTCTCTTACGTTTCCTACCGCTAGCTTTGATCATAAGATACCTAGTGATATTATCGCCTTCTCTAATATCCCTCTCTTTCGAGCGTTGGTACCATTTAATCTCTTCCTCTCAAAGCAATTTATTCAATTTATACTGTAAAACATTTCTTAACTCATAGTCGGCAATCGAGAACCCAGTTTGCTCACATCTTTTATCAATATCATCTAGCCGAGTAATTAAGCTATTTCTACTTTTCTTATACATCCCTTCAACATTGAGATTCCAGCCCTTCAGGCACCTTCTCAAAAGCCTCATCTTCTGCTGCCAGACAGCCAGATTATCCTTACCACACAAATTAGTACTCCAAACCCTATTAACTATGCTTACAAGGTCCTCCCTAGCAAACCAACATAATTCGAAGCGAAAAGGTTTATTAAAAACGTTTGGTTTAACACCAGTATGCATAAGTAAAGTTGTATGGTCAGAGACACCTTCAGCTCCCAGCTAGGGCTAACTAAAATCCTATCCAACTTAACAAAGAGAGGATCAATTTGATTATTTGACCAAGTAAAATTTCTGCCAGAGAGCTCCAGCTCCTTCAACCCCCAATGTTCAATAATTGAATTAAAGAAGAAAGACCACTTGGGAAGCTTCTTACATTTATTCCTATCTTTACATCTCCTAATGATATTAAAATCGCCTCCAACAACAAAAGGAAAAACACTACTACCAAGCATTTGCACAGAACTAATTAAGAACTCCTCTTTATCCCTAGAATGAGCAACCCCATAAACATTGACCAGATTCCATTTGAAACCGATCCTCTTATCCATCACGGTCATTCGAGTCATATATTTACTAGCTACACACGTATCCACATC